TGGCGCGGCCGAGGCTGCCAGGTCGGGTCCAAACGGGGCCCCAGTCGCAGCCGCAGGTTCCCCATGCGCACGTATATACGTGTGTGTATGTGCATGCACATATATACGTGTGTATTTTTATATACGTGTCGAGGTTTTGCAGGTATCGAAGCACTGTGAGGCCGTGAAAATGGAAACGTGCTTTGCTGTAAATCCGGAGCCTGTGAGAGGGATGTGTGAATATTCCTCTGTGACAGGGAAAAAAAAAAAAAAAAGCTTTCTGGCAAATAAAAATACATAAATAGAGAGGCAAGGTGGTTTTTGAAGCAATGATTTCACCCACCTGAGCTTTTCCAGTAATGGTGGGGCTTGGGGGAGGGTGTTTTCAGGAGCCACCAAAGGGCCTCTGGGTGCCTGCTTTGCTCTTTAATGCCTAGTTTGTCCTTAAATTTATCTCTATTTTTTCTTTCCCTCCCCTTAGGAAGCACCGACAGTTGTGTGTGGCTGTTAGGAGTCAGAGCGATTCCTTAGGTGTAGGCACAACTTAGTGTTTTTGGTAAAAGCGTGCGTGGGCTCCCTTAATTGCATTGTCTTAATTATAGCAGCAGCCTCTCTGCCAGGTTTCTGAGCACCCCCTTTCATTTTCGGCCGCTTTCTGCTGGTTTCTCTCCTCAGAGCCGCCGGAGGAGGCTGTGCTGGAGGAGTTCGGCTTCCCCCGAGCCGGGACGGAGACCCGCTGCTACACGAACCACGCGCTCTCCTACGACCAGGCCAAGCGGGTGCCCCGCTGGGTCCTCGAGCACATCTCAAAGCAGAAGACGCTGGGTACAGAGGAGTTTATTTACTTGTGACACCCAGAAGGGGCTTAGCAGGTTGCTGGCTGTGGACCCTGCGGGCAGACTGTAGTTTTCTCTAGGTGTAGTTTTTTCCACCCATTCACCATCCCATTGCGGTCAGGAGAAATTTGTCTGTTGCTCAAGTGGATAAAACTTTTGCTTCCTAAGCTAGTGTAAACTGTCGTTTGCTACATGGGCCAACTTATGGCAGTTGAGGAACTAACACATGTGAATGCTTGTAGAGTCAAGGCCCTCAATAACCAGTCTCTTTCATCTGTAGATCTTGAGGAGGTTTCCCCAGAACAGGGGAGGAAAAGAAATACGTGTTTCTGAGATAAAAGTGGAGTAAAAGGGATCAACAGGTAAAACTGTTCAAAGCTAAAGCTCAACTACTTACTGCAGCCGTTACTGTGATGCAGTTCTCGTGCATTATCAAATACTCTTTAACTGTTCTTTATGCAAGAGAGAGGCTCAGTCATTTTTGCTATCAGTGCTGAATGAAGTATGAGTGGAATAGTGTCACTGTAAATTAAATTCATAGTGTTATTTCAGTTTTTATAAGGCAAATTATTTATAGTGGAGCCAACTGTATAATTGTAAAATGGTTTATGAAGGTAGTAGCCCTTCAGGTATATCTTCATCACCGTCTTTGTGTTATCTCTCAGCATTAAAAGTGTGATCCTGAAAATATTTAAAGCCAATCCCTAAGTGGTAGAATTGATTTTATTTCTCTCTGAGAAGAAAGCAGTATTTCCAAGCTTGCTTTCAAGTGGACTTTAAAAACTAGATTGCTAAAATGTTTTCCAAGTGACAACTAATCTGCAAGTTGAAATTAAAACATCTTGAGGCATTCAACCCTGATTTGTGTCTGATAGCTACTCTAGTTGAAACTCGAGGCAGAATGATGCTGAATGATGATGTATTTGCCATAGAAGCCCTCTGTGTATTGGACCTTTGAAGGAGTGTGGAGTATTAAATAAGCTAGGTAGTTTTTAATGATAAATAAAAATGCAAATATTTCAGAAGCATAATGGAGAGAAGCCGGTTTTATGTGCAAGTGAGATATATAAAGCTGATTATGACAGAAATTGCCCATTTTTACCAAATAATTGAACAGAGAATAAGTGGGGATAGAGTTTCCATTTTTCAGGTTCAATAGGTAAATTACACTGTTTTAAGTACTGAGATTCAGTAGGATTCCTGTTTTTTATTTTTTTTTTTAATTTTGCACAGTAATAAATTTATCAGTTTTGCTTCCTAAGCATCAGTCCTGAGAGTCAAAGTATCATGTTATGTGCTTTATCAAAAATAAACAACTAAAAAAGAAAAGGAAAAAAAAAAAGTAAACGGAGAGTTCCTTCCTTCTACTGGTATAAAGGTTTTGGTGTCACCTCCGTGGACATACAGTCAGTGAAGAAGAGGAAATTATTCATGGATGCATTGTCTGTATGCATGTTCTTTTCCTACCTCTTCCCTTCTTCCTTGTGGTCCTTAGATGTTCTGGATTCTGCAGAGAACAAGTGAGGAGCATCTATCACACTTTGTTCTCAGGATGGAGCATAAGGAAGCGTAGGGTGCGTATGGCTCAGTACTAATATGCTTTAAAAAGAGGCTGAGTGCGTGAAGCTGGTGCGTATATGCAGTCATCTATAGAAGAAGGAATCATTCTAACAAATAACAACTCTTGAAAATGGCCCCTTGCCTCAGGAAATACGTGCAAAGTTTGAGGGGATTCTTTCTAGCTTGTTTAGGCCCTGATAAAGTGAAACAGAAATATGAAGAGAATATATAATTGTATAATTAGTTCAATGAAAGGATATGTAGTGGTCCTGTATAATGCAAATGTGAAATTAGGCCTAAGGTAACACCCTGAATTTTAAAGAGAAAAAATAGTCAATGTCTTCTGCGCCATGTACTGTACTATTTATTTCACTTTTTTTTTTTTTTAAACTAATAACTTACTGATAAGCTAACAATTTAGTGTGTTATTCCTCAGGTGATGCAGACCGAAGGCACTGTAAATTCAGACCAGATCCTAACATCCCTCTAATGTTCAGTGCTGTCAATGAAGACTACATCGGGAGCGGCTGGTCACGAGGACACATGGCACCAGCAGGAGATAACAAGTTTTCAACAGTAGGAATCCTTCTTAATTTGTATTTATCAAGGGAAAGTGTAAAAAGACCAGTAAAAGTGATGTATAATGTTCCTTTTGCTCTTTGTTTTGAGATGGAACACGGTCTTGTTGAAGCGCAGAGCTGGGCTTGAGTTACAAGGTCTGTTCCTCACGATGCTCTTGCTTCTTCAGGTGTCTAAATCATAGAATCATAGAATGCTTAAGGTTGGAAGGGACCTCTAGAGATCATCTAGTCCAACCCCCCTGCACACTCAGGGACACCAGAGCACATGGCACAGGACTGCATCCAAGCGGGTTTGGAAGATCTCCAGAGAAGGAGACTCCACAACCTCTCTGGGCAGCCTGTGCCAGGGCTCTGTTACCCTCAAATCAGATGCTGTAAATCGTCCTCTGGTGATATACCTTGCCTCATTAAATCATGCCTAGGCTACCTTGTCTAGCAGAGATAGTGTGGATAGTTCTTGCACTGCATAGTGTTGAGCAAGTCTCTTAACTTCTCATGTGTCACCTTCTGTATGCAATGAAGCAACCAAACCTCTGCAGTGTCTTTGGAAGCCCTGGTAAACTGAGATAGGGAAGATAGCTTTGCTCTGGCTGACAGTTGCTGCAGTGCTTAAGACTACATGGAGCAGAGCAAAAATACTGCTAAGAAGTCTTCCATATTGGCAAAGGTTGACTGGATGATTTTAAAGGCTTTTTCCTTTCTGGAAATGTGTGTGAGATAAAGTAGAACCTTTTCTTTGCCATAGTTCTTTCAGTGTATGAAGTGCCTTCACCTGCCACTTATTTGAGCTGAAGGAAGAGCATACCTTAACACCTTGGTTGACCAGCAAAGCAGCCTTGGATTTACTGGGCCTTCTTCTGAAACGTGCCTAATGCAGGCAAGCTTAAGAAGCACCTTGTATTTGTATTTCTGTGCTGTATAGAAGGAAGCACGCTAGGGACAGAGTGCCAGCCCAGTGACATGTGATACATGAAAGAACTGGTCACTTTATTGTTACTGGAGGGGTCTCTGTGGTTATTTGTGACGTTTGGGGAGTTGGGGCATGGTGAGCTACCTGCACGGAGAGATTCTGGAGGTAGGGTGCAGTATGGCGTGATAATACAACCTTTCAAATACAGGGTTATAAAACCTTAAAGTATTTCACAAATGTAATGACTGCAGGTAGAGGTTGCGCGTTATCCTAAGTGCATTTATCAGCCCTTCCCTTTCAAAAGGAAGAAGTATCTGAGGAACATGGACAGGTACAGAAACTGTCAAGATTCTGGGTTAAGATCTTGTGAAAATCTGTATTTTCCTGTGTATGTTACTTTACACCTGCAGATATATAAGCTTCAATTTAGGGAAGCTTGTGCTTTTAAGCATAAAATTAACCAAGTGTGTAGATGTTTGAAGATTAGAAATCACTTCATCACCAACAGCTTGTGTTGCTTTAAAATAGTAAAATACTGTTCAATATTTTTAGTAAAGGCTTTTCTTTGAGGAAAAAGCTAGCCACTTGGCTAGCGCAGTACATAAAAAGCATGAGTGAAAATGTTTCTCCTTTCTGAAAAGGAAGCTAATTGCTTCCAAATGTATTGCTGTGTTCCTACAGTGTGGGTTTTGTAATTGCTGTGGCGCTAGAATTGAATATTCTAGTATTATGTTTCTGTCAAACAAAAGTATATCCAGTCTGCAAGGTTTGCACCTCAGTTTTCACTTATTACGCCAAAATAATTCTTTAGATATTGTGACCTGGGTATTATAAGATGACCTGACATCTTATGTTGATTATATTTTTCTATGAAGATAGCAAGATTCTGATCCAGAAACATCCAAAGTGTGTTTTTAGTACATCTTTATAGAGAATTCTTCAAAGCAGTGATACTGTTTTCTTTCTTTATGCAGAGAGCCATGGCTGAAACATTTTATCTTTCTAACATTGTGCCTCAGAATTATGAAAATAATGCTGGATTTTGGAACAGGTGAGAAACTGAGTGAACTAAATGAAAAATATCAGGCAGTGGCATAAATCAAAAATCTTCAGAATATTCTAAGGGACTTTACATGATTCCTGTAGCGATCATAGCAATGTTCGCTGAAAGGTAACTCATTCCTCACAGTGTAAGAATAATGACCACTTTAGTTCTTTGTCTAGTAAAGCTGTAGAGGATGTTTATATAGAGTAAATAAAGTATTACCAAGATTAAGGTGTCTGTTTGTAGGGTAAGTTCAGTAGAAACTAGGAAGAATAGATTTCTGGCTTAACGTCTCTTCACAAAAAAAAAAAAGCGTTTCCAGTACAAGAGTGTTCACATCTATGTGTTTGGATGTTAATTTTTGAAGAGCTAAGTGCTGCACATGGAGTCATCACTGTTTTAGGTCTTAGGTGTTTGTTCAAGTCCCTTGCCTCCAGTAACAGTCAGATGAGGTTTTTCACTTGTATCTTTTTACTCTTCTAGAAGACATCAGTATCTTTATAGTGTCCAGTGTAAGTGAGTACAGAATTATGATTTTCAAGGAATGTGGTAAAACTACAGAAAACTCTTTTCAAATGTGCATTGCTAACACATGCCTATTTGCAAATAAGTGAATCTGGAAAGACTTTTGCCTGCATTTTACCTTCTTGGGCATGTGTCAGTCACTAGAGTTTGGATAAATGCCCCAGAACAGTCAGTAGTTGATCTCATCTTTCCTACTGGTGTTTCTGAGGTGATTAAGCTTTCCTAGCTAACATTATTTAATCTGACAAATATCTTTTCAGAATGGAAATGTATTGTCGGGAATTGACCGAGAGATTTGAGGATGTCTGGGTTGTTTCTGGACCCCTGACCTTGCCCGAAACAGGTGGTGATGGAAAGAAGAGAGTTACTTATCAGGTATGAGCCTATGTTGTTAACAGCACACTGTTAAGTATTGTTAATTCCTTATTTAAAGTGTTCTTTTCATTATAGCTTGAAAAAACAAAGTTAAAATTCCTATTAAAAGCAAAGTATCAGAGAAGTCTAGTTCACTGGAGATATATTCTGCCTACACATTTATAAAGTACATTTTTAGAAGACAGGGCTACTAAATGTCTTCTCACAATCTGTAGCAAAACTGTACTCTGACTTCTATAATACGTGACAGCATCTGACTAGAGAGCTAGTGGGTTTTGCTGGTGTGTGTGCATCCATTCAATCATTTATTGACATATTTTAGAGTGATTGCATTGCAAAGGCAGGGTGGAACTCTGAGCTATGTAGAGGGTTTGAATGCCAATGCTGCATTAATTTTAAAAGCAGTTTGATGAAATCCCATGTGCATCGCTTAAGATGACAGTTTTGAGGCCTCATCTAAGACCACCAAAGCCAACTGAAAGACTTCATTCAAGCTTAGGTGAATTTAGTGTAACTACTTGTGTGTGGTACTGCTGCTTCCATCTTTGTTTTGGCCTCCTGTTTTTGTTACATGCTTAAAATACACAGAAGTTTGAGGATTGATCATACACAGTCTCTAAGACATCAGTGGCAGACAGGCCAACAAGAAAGGCTACCAAGTTGAGAGATGAACTTATTCTTGCTTGTCCCAAATTGTTCTCTGCAAATGTGTTTATATTTCTGTAGGATCTGAAAGAGTAACATTTGCAAGGAGGGGGGTGTGGTTTATAAAGTTCTGCTTCTAGTGTAATGAAATACTGTTGTTTTCAGTTGCTAGATACTACCTAGCATGATGCAAATAATTAATACTATATTTTGTACTTAGTTAGCATACTAGCTAGAAAAAATATTTTTCTTTGCAAACAAGTCCTTGGATAATCAGTAGTGTCGGCTCAGGAGCAATTGAGTTGTCTGGCCAGTTCTCTGAGGAGCAGTGAATGAGTTCGTTATGAGCAAGTCCCTGTTTCGGAGTGATATGAGAGATGGGAACAGGGGGGAAGTTGAGCTTTCAACCCCAGCTTGATTAGCAGTAAAATTTACATGCTATTTATCCCTTATAAATGTACAATTGATTTCTGTTAGATCAAGCTGGGAACTCAGTAGTGATGGAGTGTAATTCTGCCTGCTTACTTTGAGGTTTTCACTTTCAAGAACTGTCCCTTGTATCACCCACACATGTCTATAACCTTCACTCTGGTGGAATGAGAGACTTGTGGGTGGATATTTTTGTTTTGCTTTCAGACAGTCATAAGTTATGCACATGAAAGTACAGTAGTAATTTATCTTTTTAATATTCAGTGGCAATTCCTAACTTCAGTTATCAGCACATCCTTCTGAAGAAGGTGGTGATTCTTCACATTTTCAGGGAGATAAATAGTGTTTTGGTGATGGTCAGTGCCATGCAGTAAGTCAGTGGTAAAGCTGTCTTTAGAGTGGCTATGTTCCTTGCCACCCAAAGGAAGGGGTCCTTTTTTTAATCCTTTAAAAGTGCATTCATCTTGCAAAGAATTAAAAATCATGTGAGCTGATTTTATAGCATTTTATAATGCTATAAAATTTAGCATTTTATGAATGGTTTTCCAGCAAGCACTTGAGTTGTGCAGCCCACCAGCTCCTTCACTTCAGTCCTGATCATCCTTTTCTGGTTTTTGTTTCTAGAAAAAAGTGTTTACTTGCAAAAGAAACTTTCTTAAAAAAAAAAAAAAAAGTGACTCTGTGCTTTGTTTCTGAAATGTAAATTTTGATATTCTGCAGGTAAAAATAAGAGTAGGCACTGAGTGACTCTGTGCTTTGTTTCTGAAATGCAGGTAAAAATAAGAGTAGGCACTATATCTTACTGCCTTTTTTCTAAGTAATTTGATAGCAGCATACAGTGATGGAATAATAGTGGCACAAAATGTGCATGCTGCTTTGATTATCGTATTGTTCTGTTCTCTGTTGCCAAGGCGTCTTCATCATCTTTGGGTTTGACAACTCTAGTCTTTCATGAACGTGCTATCAGGTTTGGTCTTGGTATAAACTCTGAAGTGGAGTTCAGTGTGGAATTGAAAATAATGAAATGATGGCATTTGTGTTTTCATTTTATCATTTGGCAGCATTTATAAACCCTTCTTTGTCAGCTTTCCTAGAGTGGGATTCATTACATAGATTATACTTAAGCTTGGGGTCATGAATTTAGGAATAGATAATGCTAGCTACCAGCGGGGAAAAAAGTTGTAATTTTTTTTTCTCTGTAACTTAAGCAACACTCCTAAGTGTACATAGACTGCTAAGTGTAAATAAACACAGATTGAGAAGTGCTTTGTTATTTTCAAATATGTGTGTAGTGTAAGTTCTTGCAGTTGAAGTTGTCCTCAGGGGGGGAAGAGATTTCAAAGCGGAGGGTATTTGTTTGACTGCTTTTCCCTGCACCAACATGTACTGCAAGAAGAGGGGCTGGGCTCTGTCAAAGCCGTGTGTAGAGGCTCTTTTGCCAGGCAGATACCCCAGGTGCAATTACAGTCATTGCTTTTGTCTTTAGCAGACTGGGATTTTGCCCCTAAAGCAAGAATTTGGAGTTTGCTTCTAGATGAGCCTGGAAGGTAACCCTGTGCTGTCTTTCAGAAGTGAACGCTGTTAGATTCAGACAAGTGCCTTAGAAATGAAAGGCTTTTAGTCCTCATTGTTTGGACTTAGGAAGTTGATATGGGAAATATCTTTGTCTTTAGCTGCTGTTTAAGGAGAAGTGCTATAGTACACACCGAAGAGCTGAAATGCACAACCTGTGGTCTGCCAACAGAACTGTTACAGCAAAGCTGCTCTTAATGCTCTTCTCTTCCTCCACGAGAGAACTGAGAAAGATGACACAGAAATACTTCAGTTGGTGTGACTGCATTGTGTTGTTTCAGAGCCTCCTTTCAATCTCTGTTACCTTATTTTTGGCTAAATGAGTGGTGAAATACATATACAGCCTGGTGTTTTTCTCATGAGACATCCGAAAAGGTTATTTTTAGATCACTATAAAGGAAAAACAGAGCTTCGGTCATGGCATGGTTCCCAGTTCCTGCTTGGGCTCTCTACCATTTGCTGCTTAATTCCAGAAAGGGAATTAACCTTGAACTCCTTAGATGCCAGTGCTGTTCTGTCTATTGGCTGAACTTGCTGTATCCTGAGATACGTTCTGTCATTTCATCTGTTTCCAGTGGAGGCTTTTTTTGCAAAGACACGATCGATGACTGGGCTCGATATCTGCAAAATATATTTCAAGAATATATGTAAAATAGAATGCCAGCAGGAAAAATCTGTTCTGTGTCATTGCACAGCCAAATGCAGATTTTTCATCTTTGTCCAGATCAAAGTGACACTGTCTTGTTTTATACATTGCTGTTCTCCAGTGACTGTCACTGCAGGGATTTTCCTCCGTCAGCAGATTTTGAGTTTGAACTAGAGAATTTTGCATTGATTTTGCTGCATCGTGCTCAATTCTCCACCCTCCTGTTCCTGCTGTCACTGTATTAAATCTTAATATAAGAAGGATCAGCTGTGTCTGTCAAAGGACAATACAGAGAGGTTTGTTTATTGTTTGAAGAAGGCTGCTTTTTATGTACATATATACGCTGAGGTTGTTCTGGCATCATGACCATGGTTTAATACTCAAAGTAGAATGGCTACTTGGTCCAGAGATACATAATAGCTATCTCAGAGGAGATGCTTATTTGTCATCCTGTATCTGTGGTAAAAAAGTCACTGAAAAGCAAACTGCTTCTCTTGCATATATGATGGTGCTTTACAGTTTCTTAGTCAACTTTCAAACTTAGCAGAGATTCCTTCTTAATAAAAACACTGTAAGTGGAAGAAATCCCCGGTAAAGGAAGAAATAAACTTGAGGGCTGTTACTACTTGTTGACCTCCCCGAGGCTGCATAGACAGTAATGGATGCAGGTCCATTTTACACGTCTCATAAAACTTATTTTCAAAGGTCTAGGTCTTAGATCAGCCTGGCATAACCAGCAGGGCTTTTGTCAACCCTAAATTTAGATGTGATGGACAAATGAAAATAATAGATGCTGGGTTAAGATCGGAGGAGAAGGGAGTGCAGGGGAGATTTATGGGGTTGCTTTTATTTAGCACTGCTCCCGTCCTGAAGCTTCTTTCATTCTAGGGAGAGTAGTGATAGGGGCTGTATTGAGTTTGGTGGTGAGTAAGCTAGATGGATTCTGTGGAAGAGCCAGTCTGTGGTCCCATGAACAGGACATCGTAATACATATACACATTCCCTTTTTTTTTTTTTATTTTAATATAACTTTCATCTCTCAATGCCATAGCAGTGTTTTTAGGGACACTGTTATCATCTTTCAGTTTTTCTAGTATTGCCAAATGACTTAGCAATAGCAATCAGGCCAGCCATAACAACCTGAATCTTACTGAAATACATTTGTATTTGGAGTGTTTGGCTCTGAAATTTTATAACAGTTTGTTAATTTGGTTTGTATTTGTAGTGTCTGCTGTATTTCAGGGACTGCCCTCACACCACTCAGCTCTTCTCAATGCCATCTGATAGATTCTCTCAAATCATTGGGAAAAACAGTGTTAACAGAATTAGTGCTGCCCATCACAAACCCAGAAGGGTTTGGAGTGAGGGCAGTTAATGCTCTTGCAGCAATCAAGTACAGGAAAAAACGCTGATAGCAAAGGGAACTTCCCATGCTGCTGGAAAGTCTGTTTCTGTTCAGAATTCATTATCCTGTTACAATAAAGCCCTATGTTGTCAAACGTGGGTTCGTGTTATTAGCTTGAGTGATTTTATCTAAAGCAAGACCTGTCTGGGGCCAGATCACACCTCGAGTTAAAAGAGCTAAAACAAAACAAGCACCTGCCCAGAGGGCTGCTGTCGTGTTCAGGGTGATGGGCATGATGTGCCTGAAACCTGTCCCTCCGGAATCGTGATAACTCTTAATTTCATCAATGCCAGATGCAGGTGGAAG